GAAGCAGGAGTCGACTGAGGAGGAACCTGAGCATACCAAGCAGCCAAAGACTCGCGCTTCCAGGAAGGCAAAACACAATGATGGGGAGGAGCCAGCCAAAGGACCAAAGCAGCCCAAGGCCAAGGCCAACGCCAAGAAGCAGGAGCCAACTGAGGAGGCAAAGCACCAAGCACCAAACAAAAGGAAACGGGCGTCGCAGGAGCAAGCATCTACAGAGGAGCAACCCAAAGGGAGTGAGGCCCAATCTCATCCCAATGAGCCAAAGGGTGAGGAAGCAGAACAGCCAACAGACCGCCCAGGCCGCAAACGGAAGCAGTACCAAAACCCAGAAGAGGCTGCGAAGGCTGCCCTCAAGAGCCGTAAGTGTGTGGCCTACAACCTCACCTACCGTAAGAACTTGGAAATGCATGGGGAAGAGGAAGCTAGGAAAAGGGCCCGAGATGTTCTTTGCCATTGATTTCATATGCAACATTTTCTAGCTCTTTCTTGAAGTGTGCATGGTGTCGGTATGGTTCCTGTTTGTGCGTGGTGTCCATTAAGGCTTATAAGCACACCGTCTGAGATGGCCACTGGCCGGAGATTGCCGCACATTTTGGCAGGCATCTGTTTTGATTTGGTGCAATCAAAAGGATTGCACTTGGGGACTGCCAGCTGCGGAGGGCAGCTGCCATTTACTCTTGGTGGGATTTAGATTTCAAGTCAGCTGGGTGATCCTGGCAGTGGAGTGCAGCAAGAAATCATCAGCGCCAGTGCCTGTGTCTTATGCCTTCCAAGATAGGTTGATTGATATGTAAATATATATTGTATAGAAAACGAAAGGTTAATATTCACCTATAGACTATAGACAGATCTTTCACCTAGCTACAGTTCTGTATATATATATGTACTGGCAACCTCTCTTGGTTGTGGCATGGTTCTGCCACACCCTATTGTTTCCCATGCCAGGTCATGCCGAGGCAACGGGCCTGGGCTCTTCAAGGCCGGCTGGGCATCTTGAGGGGATGGCTCATTTTGGAATTTGAGATCATGCGCTTTGTTGGAGGTGCACAGCTTACAGGTTTGGATGCCGTTCGTTTGCAGCAATCTGGGTCAGTTAGCAAGAGTCTGACTGGGGTGTGCTAGCTATGGAAACTACCTCAATGGTTGTTCGGCTTCTTCATGTGCAAGCGCCAAAGGCTGGAAACTCTGCAGCTATGTTTTCGAACGCGCTCAATCTTTTGTCATTTTGATGTAAAGCAAGTAGTGGTCGTGGAGTGCCATTTGACCAGGTGCTGATTGCAACGGTCACACCCCTAATCTTAACAGCGCTTCAAGTTAAGGGCCGCGGAAACCATGCATGTCCTCACTCTTTAGGTCCTCCTGCTTCTATGGCAAAATGATTTGCCAGTATCGGCTGGTGGGAGTGTGGATTACTTCGAACTCTTCTCCGGCAAAGCAGAGGTTTGTAAATATTGGCTACTCAGCCTGCATGCATATTAAGTGAAGTACTGTGCTACAATAGGGCATGTAATGGCATGTACTACACGCGCTAAGGTCGGACCAAGGATGCCGCACTTGCAAGGTTGATATGGACTACTCCCCGTGCATGGACT